TCTCATCTTGAATGGCCACTGCGACCAATTATCCTTCCCTTGTAAGAGAACTATCTTATTCTGATTATCCAACATTCCGCTAAATGACTCCATCGTGGATAAGTGGCCGTCGACATACACTGCGCGCGTTAGCGTGCATAGCCAAACTGGTACCATATAAGACATCGTAAGTTGTCGATAATAGACTAATTTGGCCTCATGACCTCTCACACTTTCCCTTAATTTCCCTAGATGGCACTCTGTCGTGATCATACAAAACGTGTTTTTAACGCACGAGGAAATGCGGCTTCTTCAGACACTCGAACTATAGAATGGCATGTACTCTCTTACCAATGCCACAACATTGGAGCGCATGGGTCAGATCACAAAGTTGGAGGCTACGTTTTACTTTGAAGCCTCTATATCCCCACATACGTACGAGGTTCCTCTCGCGATGTGATGGGTCCATCGACGCTATTATGATGAGGCGACTGCATAGGATTATTGTGGTCGCCTCTCGCGGACTCGACTTCCTCGCAGTAGATAACGAACTTGTTTTCATAGCATCGGAAGGTATGGTTGAAAAGCTCTTTCTAACCTCCCGTTTACTCCCAGGTGGTGCTCATGTAATGCTGCAAGAACGAAAGTCCTCCATCAAATATGATGATACCTCCTTCGATCAGAATATTTTGCTGCTAACATGTTGGAGAGCGTCTGGTCCGACCATTCCTCTCAATTTTTTTCTTTTTCTCCTTGGAGCTTCTGAAGTCTATTTAGGGCGAGTGTTTAGATTTTCTCTTTGACTTCAATGGAGCTCCACCCTTATTCAGCCGGTGAGGGACAAAAAAACTTCCCCCGTTATACCTTTAAAATGTTCCCAAATGGTGAGGGAGCTCCGTAGATGCCCAACATTGAACTGTTTTGCAAGCGTCTAGGATGCTTTTCATGAAAAGGAAAGCGAGCGCATACATTAGGGAGACGAACCTTGATGTACACCAGTCCACCACTCTACAACAGATGCGCGCATCGCTTTGCTCGGCTCAGTGGTCTATTCGGTACTGTGGTATAACACAGGGAGGCAGTGGTGCCATAACTTTGTTCCCAGAATCGTTTCGCAAATTTGAAACACAGATTTGAGATCAGCGCTCGGGAACACCCCTACTTTTCATTTTGATGGCCCCTGCGACCACCTATCCTTCCCTTGTCAGACGGTGAGGCAACGAGATATCAGTATAGGATCGTCGCCGTAGACGACGATCCCATATCCCATTATTGAGTTGGAAGTCGTTGTTGGTCTATAAGTTATGGGTAAATAGGGCATAATCTCCATATTGAGCTTTTTCTTGGAGAGCCCTGGAACGTGAGCCTTTGTGAAATTCATGGTCGGCTGTATCATTATGCAAAGCAGTGTACCACTTTCATTTTATTCTCTCACTGAGTTGCTATGCAATGGCTTCTACTAGGCCTCAACCATTGTACATAATCTCAGTGAGAGCGCGGGTGAAAGAGATAGTTCCCGCAAGGGTTTCCCTTTAATTGTGGCGACCGCGCCTATTTGACTGCCCTCGTCTGTCACACTCCTGTTTAATGCAATTTTTGTGCTTGTCTGACTAATGAGAATCCCTGCGGGAACAAGTTTGGAAAGTGTTAGATCGGTGGAGCATAGCCAATCACGAAGAAAGCACACTTGAGCTAAGCGGAGTCTCGAGTACGGGGAAGGTTATGCAAAGTACCGCTAGCTGATTAAGCACGTATTGAGTAGTCAACTCAGTCCCTTGTAGTCATTCTCGTCGTTCCTTTTGACGTCCTATATCAGAGCGTAGGAGTACGGGCGTTAGGAACGATTTTGGGTAATCGATTCGCCGCACGCGGCTGTCGCGGACCACTCATTCGCCGTTATTACAGCTCTAGCGTTCTTCATACAGCTCAATTATTATGCGATCATTATTTTATGCATAATTCTACTATTAGTACTATTGTTCTTGTATTTCTTACCTGCTGCTGCATCCTGCTACATTCCTTCGCGCGCGGCGCCCCTCTCACCGCGACGCGCCCATTTCGTTCCTAACGCACCACACCCCAGAGCGTATCTAATTTGATTATTGAGTTGAGCCAATCCGCATTTTCGCTATTCCCCTACTCACTGAAGTACCACAAACGAAAATTGACCACTCTATGTATTGTATAACCAGATGTTACATGTTATTACACTATTCCTCAGCCATGAACAATTTCCCAAATAATGCACTCGCGTGAGGTGAAGTGGGACACATCTGAAATTGTATTGAACGAGGTTCATTCACGATTCATTGTTTAGGGCAGCACTTATTTTTTTATGGAGGCTGATGTAATGCTTAGAAGCCTCGTAATTTTAATTGTAGTGAGGCGTCTACGCCGCGCGAAAATACCGCCGAATCCCCAAATGCCTTCAATAACATCTGACCTCTTTTTCCTGCACTCAGAACGTTTTTGGACGTAGCTATGATTTTTTGATCTCAGCCCCGAACACTCTAGTGCCAAAGCCCGCCCACTTCGAAAATTTGACCACTGACCACGTTTATGCAATAACCTCTAATCCTTTTCTTTTCTCATAACATTTGATTGAGCAGAGTTTCATATATATTTCAAATTTGAGCGCACGCCCCATCCGTCGTGGGCGAAGCTAGCTGCATTAACCCACGCTCAGCACGCATGAGGCTTTTCTCAATTTTTTTATTTTTTCCTGGCCTCCACGCATTACGTTGATTTGAGTCGTGAACTTATGTGGATAGCGCCGCCGATGCGAGAACGCTCCGTCCACCTACGGTAGGTCTCCTTTTCTCTTGTTGACCCATCCCTCAACTTTGCCCGTTTTTTTCGGCATCTGGACTATAAGACCAAATAAGGAAACTTTGTTCATGGCATCATGAAGCTCCAGCGCATCCCTGTAAATCAGTGTATTCTGTTTGTTATCACCCTATGCTCGATCCATTCAGCTTGATCCGACATCTCTAGGTGTTTCTTCAGGTAATAAACGAATTTCTGACGGACAGACAAGGAGACAGGCAGGCAGAGAGAAAAACAATTAGACAGACAGACACGAGCGCGTCATATACAGTAGGGAATATTCAAAAGGGAACTGATCTTATACGATAATCCAACTTTAGAATCGCATATGCTGATACTGAACCGCTACCTATAGCCCTACGCGAAACTAGACCACATCTACAATAAGAGCTAATCTCGTTTTTCGTTTGCTGCACCACCTACACCACTCATACATGATCTTGTCTACTAAGAACACGAGGCCCCTTACGGGTGTGTGTACATTGGTGCGATTCGATTCGCACGCGGGAAATTGTGCGGCGAAATTATGGCTATTTCGACAACTTTAGCGCTTAGTATGGGAGCACCATCTTGAAGTAGAGTAGATCAGTAGTCTCACCTGACCCTAATAAACTATTCAACTACTCTACCTCAAGTTTGTGCCCAATAATGGGCACCAGAGTCATTCGATCGCCACGATATCGCCGCGCGCAGTTCAAATCGCACGAATGTATCGTCCTTCGTTTCTTATTAACCACGAGGCATGGGAATCCACAATTCCCCACTTCGCTATAAAAATTGCTTGGCCGCACTTCGCCAAGGCAACAAGAAACGGGCTGGAATAGAGCTGCATCGACTGTTGGGTCTGCCTACTGGCTGCTCCTCATTCGTCTTATCTAAGCCCTTGCAGGATCCAAACATTCGGGAACTTCGAACTTACGTCAAAGCTATAATCAATCTATAGGTTGCGTTTACCCTCTTTTTGTTCAGAGATGCTATCAGGGCTATTTCTATTCGATAGAAAGACATAGCAGCTTGTGGGAGATAGTGCTTCAAGGAACGAACGACCTTTCGTATTAGATTTTTTAGCAAATAGTTGATGCCAATCTTTCGGAAAGGATGCAGGTAGAAGTAGCTTTTGCGATTAGCGATCTCAAATTATCCTAGAAGATTTCCCGTCAAGGCTTTCAGCAGTGTGATCATTTAGCTTCACACATGTCGCAAGTGTCATTTGACATTCCCATCCGAAGCATCATTGATGCGTCACTCAGGCGCGCATTCTCGAGAAGACATGTTTCCCTACAAATGCGGATGTTGTAGACAGGTACTTCATTTCGATTTTACATTGACACAATAAATTTTTTTGTGACATTAAGGCATTCGAATGTGACCAAGGCTTACGACGACATTCTCAGGTTCATGATGATGTGGGTCCTCGTCGGTGTGAAAGGTGCTTTGGGATATTCAGGTACTGAATTTTTACGGTAAATTCACGAGATGAAGGCGTTATTTTTTTGTGCATGCTATTCTTGCAGATCCCCTTTAGCCCTGCGACGACATCTCGACCAGTGCCGACAATGCTGTATTGCTCCCATCCAAAACGAAATTGTAAGTGTTTTGCTCTCTGTGATGGTCCATGTTGTTATCTTTTGGCGTTGAATCTTTTAAACGTTCTGGCATTGCTCATAAATATGTGGGTAGCGTAAAATTCTCAAAGCCGGTGATTTTCCTCTTAGATGGTGTCGGTCCATTCGCCATGTGACGCGTCCTCATTTATCCCTTCCGAGAGTGGAGGAGCGTTTCATTTCTTAGATGATGTCAAAAAAACGCAAGGAACTTGGTGCGAGGAACTGCCTCAACGATTCCACAGCACCCATTACAGGTACCTTGTCAATCATTTGGAAACTATAAGAAATTTTCATGTCTTAATCTCGTTAATTAGTCCATGTTTTAATCTTATTTAGTTAACAACATTTGTGATGTCCGCCTTGTAATTTTCCTTACTGTCTGGGAAAATGTGTTCATAAAACAGCTCCACTTATAGGGGATGTGTGGGTTGATAATGAACGGAAGGTGTCATTTCGTTCAGATTTGGATTCCCGTCTTTATAATTATCTGCTGCATATAAACTTGAAGTTAAAGGGAGGTTCAAGAGGGTGCTCAAAGTTTCCATACGATTAAAATACAGGCAGAAGTTTTTTGTTGTCACAAAAACGATGCGAACCAGCTTCCACCAACCTAGACTCAGACCGGCATTACTGCGACCATTGTACGGACGTAATTAGATCTCGTCACCGGCTGCCGTTTGAGATATTCTCCCGCGTGCGGATCTTTGAATTCATCGTGAAGGATTGAGGTGTACAGTGAATGCTTACGTTCGTTCAGGTTTTCATTCAATGTTGTCCTTCTCTGATGAATCCTTTGGTAGGGTTGTGCTGAAAGTGGCACGATTCTTTCAAATTTCAAATTTATTACATGCTAACACATATGTAATAGAGCAAAACAACAGAAAAATGAATCTCAAGGAACCAAAAGAAGAAGAACAGCTGAAGGCTTGAAGAAAATATGGCGGGAATATCAACTTAGGAGTAACAAATAATGAATTAGCGAAGGAAGATAACGATCTAACAGCTTTTTGAAACCTGTAAGAGAACCAGGCACAGCACTTTTTTCTAATTTTCGAGAAATTAGACCCAGCCCTAGAGGTGAAGAAGTTGCTACTCATTGACGAACGTGGTCGACCAAGAAAATTTTGAGTGATTAACTCCTTGTCTTGTAAAATCCTTGTAAAATTTTGAGTGATTAAATTATTCTTTCTTCGTCTGAGCTTAAGCGAGTCTAAACTAAGCCCAAGCGAGTCTAAATTAAGTACAGAGTCCTTATGATACTATGGAATGCTGCGGTAAATAAAACCAAATAAAGGGAAGAACACCTTCCTCGTGAAGCTATTTTCAACTCTATCAATCCGGTCCACCGCATGTACCATATTCAAGTATGGGTCTAACACAAGTTTGATATGCCAGAATGAGAAGCTGGGAGTTCTAGAGCACAGAGATTTGACCAAAAACAAATGGCGGCGTTCCGCTCAACTCATAATGTTCCTACAGTACTCTCCAAACGGTTTATTGTCCACAATGAACATTGGATCCTTCACTAAATAAACCTCATCGATGGCGACTCCTGACAAGAGATAATCGAAACGTAGATCACTTTCCCCAAGGTGGAGAACTTTCGATTCATAAGGAGAAAGAGATAGGCATCATTTCTGCAAATAACGAAAGACAGCATGTAAGGCAGTTAGCATTCGGGAAAAGCTTTCACCATTTGAGTTTTTCCAAATAATTTGATGTCATCAACAGACATCTTACAGGCAGCATCAACATCCCTCTTCAGCAATAAGAGTAGGCAAATCATACACATAAACAGCAAAAAGAAGAGATAAAATATCTCACGGGGTAACACCAAAGGTAGCATCACGGATCATAGAAACTTTGCCATTGAGTATCACGTGGGAGGTACGGTTATTAAGAAAGGCTCCGATCCAAAAAACTATCCGAAGCTGGATACACACATGAGTGGGCTTTAAAACTAGGAGTTCATATGAGGCTCCGTCAAAGATTTTCTGAAAATCAAGATAGACTACATCAACACTTTCCTTGGAATCCAGCGCTGCGGAAATCAGAATCATTTGATGACTTCAGCATTAACGTTTCAGTAGATTTACCTTCCCTACATCCATGTTGACAGTCAGTTAAAACACGATTGAGTTTGAGGTGGAGCTCGATCCTCTTCTTCAATGTTTTTTCAAACACTCGATAAAAAAGAGAACTCACACTTATAGATCTATAATTGTGCGGATCATGACCAGGAGACCCTTTTAGTGAAGGGATAACTAAAGCATGTATCCATCTATCAGGGATTTCGCCACGACAAAAGATTAACTTGAAGAAGTATTCCAAGGGATAAGGAATCTTGGAAGAAATTATTATATTTAACTGGGAGGGAATACCATCCGGTGCTACAGAGGAACAACTATGCCACTCAGGAAGAAGTTCAAGAATACCACGACGATCAAACCATACTGAATCCTCCATGACTGGACACGAAGTGTCATGCAAAAGTGGAGCTGCAACTGGCCTAATATGCGCATAGACATTGGCAAAAACATCAGCAAGTAATTTGCTCTACCAAAATCAGAAATCATCATTGATCCATCATCATATTTAAGAAAACGAACTCCTCTATTATGATTTACCCTTGTATTGATATACTTATACAAGGCTGCCCTATTTTTTGACTCCACAAACTTTTTTTATCTGAGCGATCGACCGGAAAAGTTTCTTATCAAACCTGTCGGAGGCATAATTATAAAAATTCTAGTCCTCAGAAGTGTTGCATTTGGAAGCCCTCTCTTACGCTCGTTTTTTGAGAAGGTAGAAACGTCTTAAATAAACTGGTACGCGCTCCAGAGAGGCTGGATACTTTTTCATAGGTACAAACAATTCCAAGCAGTGGATTAGAATAAATATGGGAGTTTCATACATTTCATTCACTGAATCGGAAGCACGGAAAGGCTCAAACCAATCTGCGGAATCCAAATAAGAATTGAGGCCAGTGACGTCAGCATTTTCGAAATCACGAGAATAAACCCAATAGCTACTAAGAAAAGAAATATTCAGGTAAAAATATTTACTACAGGGTAAGTTATGACTGATAGTCATTGTCAAAAACTCAGTAGCCACTGAATCAAAAGAAGAAGGAACACTCTGCCACACGACAGCAAAAAAATCGAAGTCACCCATAAGGAGAAGAGGAAACTAGAAGTTGACATATCACTCAATCATTTGATTAGTTGTTTTGTATAAGTAAACAAACATTTGGGAGCTCTGTAAACCAAAATGAATCTTTTTTTTCTAACACTGATACGCAAATCCGCTGGCACTATTTCATAAGCGTTTGGAACACATTTAGCAGAAACCAGGATAGGGTAAAGCATTTTCACTAGGAAGGCCATTCCTCCGCCTTTCCTTCTTATTCTGTCACACCTGGTGACATCGTAAAGAGTGAAACGTTCCCCAAGAAAGATTCTAGATTATCTTTCTTCTATAACCAAATCTCCGATGGTAATTACGCCACAGTCAAAGCTGGATACTAGGCAGACCAGAGAAGTAATATTTTCTTTGATCGCATTCCCATACCAAGCAATATCTATGTTATGCAAGCCTGCAAACAAACTTAGGCAAGCCCGAGCGATTTCTTTGTAACGGTTATGTTCATTAGAATTGTCAGGCACTGCGGTCTAGATGATGCAAATGCATATTCTATGCAACGGAATTCAGAAACAAGAGCAAGGTAATATTTTGTGATCATGAATGCAACATCGAGCATAGGTACGTTTTGGCCATTTTCCCCGGACATGTCCTTTATAGTAGAAGTGTTCTCAGAGTTTCGATCGACGCCATAATGGCTGTTGTTGCCAGTAACCTGGAAGGGATTCGGAGCTTTTAATTTTTACTGTAATATACATGCTTGAAACTATATAGTAAGTAAGAATGAAAGGTGATCTCATGATTCTTCCTCTCTAAAAAGGGTGGATGATCACAGACCTACGACAGAAACTGAAGAGAGAAGAGAGAAGATTTGCTCCAGCTTTGAAAAAAGGCCAAGTTTACTATATCAAGTCCAATGTTTACAAAGTTGTGCCAGTATGACAGACACGGTACATCTGGCTCCCAAACTCTTTCATAATTCAATAAAATTCACTTCTTCCCTGAGATTACCACACAGATGGCTCGACTCTTACCTGACATTTCGATTCCAAATTACACTTATTGGTTCAATACGTATCTTTCGTGGGTAGCGAATATGACGATTCTTCAACTCAAGACGCTGTCGTATCAGTTTTCAACCAGATACAGTGTGTTTCAAAAGTATGTGCACACCCAACATTTTGTTTTTTTTTGGGAATACCATTGCTTTTTGTAACCTGTGACCTTCGCCATTCAATTCCTTGTGTGCGATAACCTATGAACACTTATTCTGAGAGAACATTGTAGCTGCTAGTTGCCAGTTGCCGCTCCAAAAGTATGTGCACACTCAAAATTTTTCATTTCGAAGGTAACTAAAGAACCTACCGCAACGAAACCGTTCTCAAACGATTTCTCGTAATCGATACATCTACAGAAATTTAGGTGGCCCTATTGGTTCCTGATCTCGGTTATATTTTTTTTTTTGCTAAGTGTGTACATACTTTTGAAACAAAGAAAAAAATTTCTTCAATAAAAAATTATGTTAGCAGCTACGATGTTCTCTCAGAATAAGTGTTCGTAGGTTATCGCACACAAGGAATTGAATGATGAAGGTCACAGGTTACAGAAAGCAATGGCATTCCCAAAAAAAAACAAAATGTTGGGTGTGCACATACTTTTGAAACACATTATAAGTATACGGCCAAATGGACTTCGCATTGCAATGATAAATCGGAGAGAATAAAGGGTTATTCGTATAAGTGTGCAAAACTGTTTTGGGAGAGGTGTGGAGCGGTTCAGGGATGTATAGGATTGGAAAGCATTGTAAAGGGTGATCAGGAGGATCAGCGGTTGAATGAAATGG